AATTATTATACAGTATCACTTTTACTGTGTACAGTATTTTCCAGGTTCTGCTCATTCCAGCTTGCATCAGTTCACGTCTTTCCAAATATTTCTGAAAACATCCTGCGGGTCATTTCTTACAGCACAATAGTATTCCATCACAATGAAATACAACTTGTTTAGCCATTCACCAATCTATGGGCATCCACTCAATTTTCAATTCCTTGCTATAACAAAACAAGCTGCTATAAATATTTTTAACATAGAAGGCCTTTTCTTTTTTTTGATCTCTTTGGGGTATATACCTAGTAGTAGCATTTCTGAGTCAAAGGGTATGCATGGTTTTATAGCCTTTTGGGCATAGTTCCTAATTGCTCTGCAGAATGATTGATTCAGTGATGACTCCACCAATGGTGCTTTAGTGACCCAAATTTTCCACATCCCCTCCAACATTTGTCATTTTCTCTTTATGTCATATTAATTAATCTGATAAATGTGAGATAGCACCTCAGAGTTGTTTTAATTTTCATTTCTATAATCAATAGTAATTTAGAGCAATTTTTCATGATTACAGATAGCTTTGATTTCTTTGTCTGAAATCTATCTGTTCATATCCTTTGACCAATTACTAATTGGAGAATGACTTGTATTCTTATAAGTTTGGCTCAGTTCTTTATTTCTTTGAGAAACAATGTCTTTATCAGATAAAATTAATATAAATCTTTTTTCCAGTTATGATTACTGTATATTTCCCTCCATCCTATTTTCCCCTGTTTATCCTTCATTCACTCTCCTTTTACCCTGTTACTACTTAAAAAGTGTTTTGATTCTGACTACAGCCTGCCCCAATCCACCCTCCCTTCTATAAGCTCCCCATTTTTCTTGTTTCCTTTCCCTCCTACTTCCCTGTAGGGCAAGATAGATTTCCCCACCTGAGTGTGTATGTTCTTCCTCCTTTCAGCTAATTCCGATGAGAGTAAGGTTCAAGTCTTATCTGCCAGATAATACTCCCCCTCCATTGTAAAAACTCATATCTCTTTTATATGAAACCTTATTCTATTCTTCTCTTCCAATGGGTTCCTCTTTCTCACCTCTTAATTTTATTTTTTTTAGATAATATCCCATCACAGTCAACTAACACTCATGCCCTGTGTCTACGTATACTGCTTTGAATTGCCTTAATGATAAAGTTCTTACAATTAAAATAATCATCTTCCCATGTAGGAATGTAAACAGTTTGACTTTGTTGAATCATTTATTTCTCTTTCTTGTTTACTTTTTTATGCTTCTCTTGAGTTTTGTATTTGAAAGTCAAATTTTCTATTTAGCTCTGGTCTTTTCATCAGGAATGCTTAAAAGTCATCTGTTTCATTAAATATCCATTTTTTTCCTTTGATGGATTGCACTCACTTTTGCTGGGCAGGCAATTTTTGGTTGTAATCTTGGCCCCTTTGCCTTCCAGAATATTATATTCTAAGCCCTCTGATCCTTTAATATAAAGTTACTAAATCTTTTATTATCCTGACTGTGGCTCCACGACATTTGAATTTTTTTTTCTGATTGCTTGACCTGGGAGGTCTAAAATTTGACTATAATATTCCTGAGAGTTTATGTTCATTCATTTTGGGATCTCTTTCAGGAAGTGATCAGTGAGCACTTTCAATTTCTATTTTATTTTATTTATTTATTAGGCAATTGGGGTTAAGTGACTTGTCCAGGGTCACACAGCTAGTAAGTGTCAAGTGTTTGGTCTGAGGCCAGATTTGAACTCAGGTCCTCCTGACTTCAGAGCTGTTGCTCTATCTGCTGTGCCACCTAGCTGCCCCTCAATTTCTATTTTACCTTCCAGTTCTAGGATATCAGGGCAGTTTTCCTTGATAATTTCTTAAAATATGATGTCTAGCCTCCTTTTATGATCATGGTTTTCAAAAAGTCCAATGATTTTTAAATTGTCTCTCATTGACCTATTTTTCAGTTCAGTTATTTGTTATGATATATTTCTCAGTTCCTCCTTTTTTTCATTCTTTTGATTTTGTTTTATTGTTTCTTGATGTCTGATGAAGTCATTAGCTTCCATTTGCTTAATTCTAATTTTTAATGAATTATTTTCTTAGTGATCTTTTGTACCTCTTTTTCCATTTGACTATCTGATTTTTAAAACATTCTTCTCTTCAGTGGATTTTTGTGCCTCTTTTACCATTTTGCCTATTCTGTTTTTTAAGACGTTATTTTGTTCAGTGTTTTTTGTGCCTCCTTTACAAAGCTGTTGATTTTTTTCATGATTTTCTTCTATCCTCATTTCATTTCACAATTTTTTCTTCTACCTCTCTTATTTGATTTTTAAAATCCTTTTGGAGGTTTTCCAGAGCCTGACATCAATTCACATTTTTCTTTGAGACTTTGGATGTACCTGTTTTGTCTTTTGCTCTCTTCTGAGTTTGTGTTTTGAACTCCCCTGTCATCATAGGAACTTTCTATTTTATTTTTGGTTATTTGTTCATTTTTCCAGCCTATTTCTTGACTTTTAACTTTATGTTAAAATTGGGCTCTGCTCCTGAGGTAGAAAGGACACTGTTCCAAACTTCAGGTTTTTCATGCTGCTTTTCTCAGAGTTAGTTCTGGGAATCTGTAAGCTTTCAATTCTTTCCAAGTGGCATGATCTAAGGGATGGTATAGTCACTACTCTCCTGGCCTGACTACAAGCACTCTTTTCCATTCTTTGTATTCTCCTTCTGACCATTTGTCCAATCTCTTTACTATTTGTGAGCTGAAAGCTCCAGAAACTGCCACTACTGACTGAGTTACACTAAGACCTCCTGCTGGTTTGCTGGGATGTGGTCTGCGCTTGTGCAACCTGATAGCTAAACTGTGCTATATTCTTACCACAGTGAGACAGACCTTTCCGGCTGACCTAAGTTGTCTTGGGCTGGAAAATTATTTTGCCCTATCCTTTTATTGGTTTTGCTGATCCAGAATTCATTTTGAGGCATTATCTTAATTTACTTAGATGGGGATCTGGAAGAGTTCAGGTTAGTCCCTGCCTTTACTCTACCATCTTCGATAAGTTAATTCCTTTAATAAAAAAATGACCTATTTTGAATCTTTAGTACTCTAATCTTTTAATTGTCTTAGTCATAACATTTTTTTCTCAAAGCAATTGTTAGTTAATTAGTTTGTTTTAACTGTTTTGATTTTTTTTTTTGGCTAGGCAATGGGGTTAAGTGACTTGCCCAGGGTCACACAGCTAGTGAGTGTTATGTGTCTAAGACCGGATTGGAACTCAGGTCCTCCTGACTCCAGGGTCTGTGCTCTATCCCCTGTGCCACCTAGTTGCCCCTTAACTGTTTTACTTTCAACATTAAAAAGTCCAAGCAACATACAACCAGAGTCTCTGATAAAAGTCTCATTTCTAAAATATATAGAGAACTAAGTCAAATTTATAAGAATACAAGTAATTCCCCAATTTATAGCTTTAATTTCTTCCTCTCAGAATTGCCTGTTCATATCCTTTATTCACTTATCAATTGGGGAATGACCTGAGTTCAAATCCGGTGGATTAATTAGCCTGCTTTGCAGCAATATGTTACTTTTTTTTCATTCATTTCAACTTTGTATTATGTATTTTTTTTCTTTCTGCCATGTTTTAACTAATATGTTTCATAGCGGGTTTGAATGATTCTTCAAAGCCACCCTTCCCTACATCAGTAACTGCTAAAATATTTCTAACAGTCATCAAAATGTGATCATTAAGAGTTATAATTTGTGTATGTTCCCTTGGATTAATATCCATTCTTCAAAAAAAAACTACCAAATTGAGAACACGACAAAAGAGAGCAATGAAGTTCATGAATTTGGTGTGAAGTCCGGCATTCATCTGAAAGAAAATTAACTGAAGATGGGGAAACTAGATTAATTTAACTAATTTGGTCAAGGATGAATTTTCTGTGTCTGCCTAGTATCATTAGGACACATAAGCATAACTATTGATGTAAAAAATGAATCTATATAAAAAGTATTGCTTATGCCAAATAATTGGCAAACCTCTACATTTACTCCCTTGTGACTGTGGGAAAGTTTCTCTATCTGTATCATATAGAATGGTAGATTTAGAGCTAGGAGGGAAATTAGAGGTCACCCAGTCCCACCAACTTATTTGACACATATGGGGACAGAGACACTTAGTGGCATACCCAAAATCAAAGACATAGCAAGTGAAAAGCCATCACAGTAGTCCAAATTCACTGCACTGGTAGATTTCTAACCTCCCGTATAAGATTGAGATCCTTACCTATGACTTCTGAACTCCTTTACTCTAGATCTGAAATACAAAGGTCACTCAGATCATTCCTTCGTATTATGCTCATGTATCTGGAATCTGGTTATTTTAATAAAATGGAGATTGAGAGGAAGAATAGATGATGGGCATGGGTCATGGCTTAGTGATCTTGAAATGAGAATACAGAGCCTGCTATTTTACAGGAAAGGTATTTAGGACATTTAAAAAAAAACAATGCACTAAGTATCCAAGTTAACCTAGGGATATGTAGATATTTCAGGTTTCAATATGACAAGCAGGGGAGAGAACATCACCCAAATAACCCTATAAATAAAAGTCTCCAATAATCAGGGCTTTCTAGTTAAATAGAAATATTTAGAATCAGAGGAGACATACCATCTCTTCATCCTTGAGTAGGCAATTTACCTTACTACACATCAGTTTCCTCTCTTAAGTTCTATATAAATACTATTATCCTTACAGACTCAGAGAGCAGCTTCTCAAAAGGGAATGTGAATAGAGTTATCAAATATAGTGGATGCCAACTCTCTGAAGAGGGTAAAATAGTCCATTGATGTGCTGAACCATGCACTGTGAATGTGAATTGTGCAGAGTTAAAACCCCAAGAATCCCCATGGTAGAATCAGTTAAATTTTTAGTAAGACAATGAAACTATCCTGGTGATATCCAGATCAAGAGTCTAGGATCTATTAAGAGGGGTAGGGAGTTTACCTCTGGTTCTTACCGAAGATGTGAGGTTCTTTAGGATTTTCACACTGTATCCTAGCTCTTCAAGAAGGATTTTCATCCTTTCAATGTCAACTTCAGCTCCGGCCCTCTTAGAGTGATGTTTAAATTCTATGTTACAGATGATGAGAGCCAACCGTGTACGGCCTTCTTTCTCCTTCACTGGGTATATCTGCCAAGAACAAATGTAAGGTAAGCTGATGAAGTCACTCTCCTTTCGCCTTCACAGCCTAAACAAGTATTCATACTTAGGGAATCGGTGACTCTATCCATTGTCCTTTCCCATATGTCTTACAAGAAGATAATACTTCCTTCTTTCTTGCTGATGGACATTGTCTATGAAAGAAAGCAATTAGTGTGGAAAACTGGTATAGGCCTGAGATATGTATGAGTGTATGAGTATGTGTCTGTGTGTGTGTGTGTGTGTGTATACACACATACATACATACATACACACATAGATACATATACATAGACATACACACATATGCCTATATAGATATAGATTTGAATAGTGTGGAGATAGCTATAGATATAGACATAAGAATGTAAATAGAAAAATAGATATATATGTTTGCATATATAGGTATTTATGTGAGAGATAAAAACTATGTATACACACACTAGGTTACTCATCGTGTGTATGTATACGTGTATACATTTATACACACACTTATACAGATATAAATATATATATATACGTGTATATATATAAACTTGTATATATACATGTATCTATGTGTGTATATATTATCCAGGTATGTATTAGAATAATAGGTATAGATATCAATTTTCTATGACTCTTGAATGTGAAATTGGAATATTCTTTCCCTGGCTGCCTACCAATTTAAATATAATCCTCAGCTCAAGGTCTAGATCAAGTCTCACTTGCATTACAAGTCCTTCCTCAAGTTCTGTTTTTCCTCTTTTCTGGGCTTTGACTATTTGTTATCTCTATCAGTGGGGCACTTTTATTTACTAAATTTATTTGAAAATAAGCCCTCTGCAAATGTAAACCATTCCCCTATAATGAAGTATCACTGTTAGAGGGAAAAAGATACACATAAGTTTCTATGTAAAAAATAATGTGATTACAAACCAAACCCAGGTTTTATACAAGTCATATTGGGGATGGGAGAGAAAACCTATATTTGAAACAATACAGTTTATTACCTCATGCCATCACTTAACTATTTGCTATTTAAATTCTTCATTCTGTATATGTCTTTTCTGCCTTCTCTTCCAACTAAATTGCAAACACTTTAGAGAAGGGATTATACTTTAAAATTAGATTGAGTTCTTTGTACCAAGCATAGAGCCATCCATATATGTGGCAGGTGGTCAGTGCATACATGCATATAGTCACATACATGCATATGCTTGCATACTGAATGAATGGCTTTAGGAATATGCATTTTAGAAAGTGAGTGCTGAAAATTAAAATTGAATGCATTAGTTTAGAAATTTAAAAAAAGAATATGCTTTTTAGGCCAAAAAGAAAGGCGATCTAGAGCTGGGGCAGAGAAGCAGACAGCTTTGGGGTTACTCAGGGACCTCTTGCTAGAGTCATTTTTGAAAGATCTAGGAAAGCTCTTCCTATAACATCACAAATGCCTATGATTTGACAACTTTAGAAAAACTCTAATCAATGTAATGATCAATCAGAATTCCAAAGTCCTGATGATAAAACAAACAACCCACCACCTCATAATGGTGATGGACTCAAAATACATTCTGAGACGTTCATCTTTGGATGTGGCCAATGTATGAATTTGTTTGGCTTGACCATGTATGTCTGTTGTCAGGGTTTTTTCTTCTTTTTTTCTTTCTAAAAGAAAAAAAATACTTAGAACTTGAAAGAAATATAATTTATTTTTAAAAATTGCATAGTACCTCTGCTTCCCTCTCTTTCCTCTGCCTTTGAAAATCTTCTGGAGAACAAAGCTTTAGTGTACCCATGGGCTTAGCTGACATGGCCTGGCTTGCTGCAGAAGCTGGAAAAGATAAAAACATTATTAGTAGTAACATTGTCTGGGAAATCAAATTGATCTTCTGGCCTAATTGTTGTCCTAGTTAAATGTTATAGAAGAGAGCCAACCTATGTATCAAACAGAGATAACCCTTTCAAAGATTTCTTAAACCAAAGGTTAAAAATTGGATCTAAATCATGACCAAAATAGTGAAATCATTATGGATGAAGAGAAAAAGCTAATGAGAGTTAGTGAGGTACCAGGTATGACATGCAGAACTGTCCAAGCTGTAATCATAGGAATTTTTATTTCTTTAGAAAACACCCAGAGAAAGTATGGCCCTTTATGGAACAAACAAGGAGCTGTGTTCTGGGAACTGTGGAATCTTAATTCCAGCCCCATCCTCTCCTTTTTTCAGATTTCATGGCAGGAGTTTCACATTCTAGGTTCCTCAAGGGTTTTTTCTCTAGCTCTCTCACCCTTAGTTCCCTTCTGCTTGTTCTTGTCCATTAAAAAAGAGATGTGACTCAGTGGTTGCTCTTTTTGAAATACCCAGTGAAGGCAGAAGTTGTCGGATTCAATGGTTGTTCTTGGTTCAAAAGCACAGTTACTAACTTACAGAAAGAAGCTACTTCTAGTATTCTATACTTGTCAATTAGCTTTTTTTTCCCTTGGATTGATCTGGTTAAGTCATTAAGGTACTCAAAAAATATTGAGTGGCTCTCTATTACCTAGAGTAAAAGTCAAATTCCTCTACTAGGAAGTCAGTATCTTCTACAACTTGGTACTGCCTTGCCAGTGTAGTCTTATCTTATATTACTCCTTTCTACCCACAGTACATCCAAATTTGTCTACATTATGATACTGCCATGTCATTTCCATGTCACCATCATCATCATTATCATTATCACCATCATCATAACATTTATATAGTGCTTTTAGGTTTGTAAAGCACTTTACGTGTATTAACTCATTTGATAAAACAACCTGTAAGGTAGATGCTATTTTTATCCTCATTTCATAGATAAGAAAACTGAGAACAAGAGATTGTTACTTCCCTAAGGTCACATAGTTAATAAGTCAGGTTTTCCTGACTCCAAGTCCAGTACTATATTCACCACACCACCTAGCTGTCACATACCTAAGGGACTTCTTTCTAGTGCCTGAGATATCCTCCTATCCAAAATAACAAAATAAATTTATGTGTTAAACTTCTATCTGTTATTTAGAGTCCAACTTAAAAGACAGCTCTATGAAGTCTTCTGTGATCCTATGGGTCAATAATGTCTTTCACTCTCAAAGTTTACAAAGCTCTCTAAAGCACTTATCTCTGCTCTTGTCTTATTCTCCTACTACACCAGGAGGTCTAGGAAGAGAGAAAACATATCTAGTCTGAATGCTGTGTCTTCCCTGGAACTTAGTAGGTGAACATAGTGGGTGCTTAATAAAAATTTATTATTTGTTACTTAACTCTTCATCACTAGAATCTCTTAGTTGCCATTTCTGCACCTATCAAGGACTAATGCTTAGCACAGCGTCTGTCACACAGTAAGTGTTCGATAAATTCAAGTAGACTGACTATCAGGCAACTAGGTGATATAGTGGATAGAGTGCTAGCCCTGAACTCAGCGGATCTGAGCTCATATCCAACCTCATTATTATTAAAATTAATATTATTATTAATTATATTATTAGCATTATTATTAAAAAGCTGGGTGACCCTGGGCAAGTCACTTAATCCTGTTTGCCTCAATTCCTCATCTACAAAATTAGCTGGAGAAGGAAATGGCAAACCACTTCAATGTCCTTGCCAAGGAAAACCCCAAATGGAGTCATGAAGAGTTCAACACAACAGAAATGACTGAACAGCAACAGGCTGACTATCAAAATCAATCAATGATGTATTTATTAGCCTCTTTCTACATGCAAGGCACTGTTATTTGTGCTAAGAATTCTTTAGAGGAGTGCTGTACCCATCTATCTCATACTATGGTGTTTAAAATTGTTATTAATGGCAAAGACGAAGGCCTATATATTATGTCTACTAAATTTGCAGAATACATCAAACTAAGAATATTATATTGGATGACAAAATCAAATCCCCATAACATACCCAATGCCTAAAAAGACGACACAAAATTAATAAAAATGAAATTTAACCTACATAGGAACAAAACGTCAAAAGGCAGGGTAGCACTTTATATTCACTTGGATATGTTTTATATTTCATTCTTTGTATATGCTATTTCCCCTCAATATAACGTATCAGAGCAAGGAAGATCTGAGTTGAAGTCTTTCCTTGGACATATAACTATCTGCATTATCCTGTGCTGCCCACTTAACATCTCGCTGGTCTAAACAATTCTCTAAGCCTGTAAGTGGCAGAAAAAAAATGAAGATCTGTATTGGCAAAGGTAATTTTCCTCACCAAGGAGATCTCATACAGATGAAACCACATATCCAGTTCTCATCCCTTCTCCCTCTCTGTAAAATAGATTCAAAGGATTTAGAGCTGGAAGGAGCTTTAAAAATCAGCTAGTCCAACCCCTACACTTTACAGATGAGGAGACAAAAGCAAAGAAAGGTGAAATGTCTTGTGTAATGTTGCACAGGTAGCTTAGATTATTTAGAACTTGAAGGGGGGAGTCATGACTAAGCTTACATGACTTGCCCAAGATCACAGAGCTGTTAAGTGCCGAAAATGGATTTGAATTCAGGTCTTCTCACTTCGGGCCCAGAGCTCCCGTCCAATGAGCTACTAGCTGACAGTTGACATGGAAAAGGTTTGGGGCTTTTAGTAAATTACTAGCTCAACATTAATCAATAGTGTGCCTGGCAGCTTCCCAAAGTTAATGTGATTGTAGGCTTCATTAAGGGAGACATGGAGCCCAGAATGAGGCAAATAATAGAACCACCACATTCTGTTCTATTCAGGCTACACATCTACTTTCTTCTGTTCAACTCTTAGTGTCATCTTCTAGCAAGAACACGGACAAGCTGGAGTGGGTTCAGAGAGAAGTGACTAGGGTTGCAATAAACCTAGAATTTAGGCTAGATGACTTCTGAGGTCCCTTAAAATATTAGATAGTTTGTTTTTCTGTTGGAAAACCTGACAGAAAACGAAGGACAGGGATTGAAGTGACTGACCTGCAGAAGGATTTCAATTCCATATAATAGACCATCCAGGGGTTTCCCTGTACTTGAGGTATTTAATCAATAGCTGGATAATCATTTGTGTGGAAAGTCTTTCTTAGGCAAGTGGGTTAGACTAGAAGATTGTTGAAGTCTTTTAATTATTGTATGCTGTGATACCATGAAAAGAAGACAGTTCCTGCCTCAATCACTTTATAATCAAATGGGAGTACAAAACATATGGACACATAACTATAATTCCCTCAGATGTCAATATCTCTTAAATAATTACTTTACATTCACTTGAATATATTTTGTATTTAATTCTATGTTCACATCCTATTTCCTCTCAATACAATGTAAACTGTTTTAATTTTAACTTTGGTTCGCTACCGAAACACTATGTCAGAGAAAATGTAGATGCTCATAAATGCTAGTTCATCCATTCATACAGTAAACATTTATTAAACTCCTGTTAGACACCAAACACTGTGTTAGGCACTGGAGATCTAGAGACAAAACCAGCCCCTGTCTTCAAGGAACTTGCCTTCTACTGGATTGACTGACAGATAATATAGGTCATAATATGATAAAGTGACTGAAAGAAGCTAAATAAAGTTAGATGAGAGATTTGAGGGAAAATAAATTATTTCTAGCTAGGAGGATAAGGACAGGCTTGATGAAAGAAGAGGCATCTTTCTATGATCCTGTCAGGGCCAACTTTATTTCTGACATCATTTTTTTCCTTCTTCAATAAATAAGACAACAGGTTCATGGCTCTAGATATAGAACACAAGAGTAAAAATAATTAATTCCTTTGTTCCTTTAAAGGTTTTGTTGTTGTTGTTGTTCTTACTTTATACAATATAATATATACAATAATTATGAACAAAAAAATCAAGTAAACATTTTTGAAAATTCAAAAAGTGTAAAATCCTTACTTAGTCTTTGACAGGGAAAAAAATAATAACATGCAGCAAATAAGCATGTGACCTTACATTCCATGGAATTCCTTTGGCCTAACTTAGTTTACTTATTTACTTCTTTTGTTTTCTTTTAAAAGAAAATATCATTTTAATGTATATACAGTTCTAGTTCTTCTGATTTCACTTTTCATCACTTCAGATAGATCTATATGTTTATCTTTTTTTAAGGCACAATATTGTTACATTATATTACTAAACAATAATTGATTTGGCCCTTGCTCTGCATTGTTTTCATTCCTCCTCCTATTGCCCTGATGTTCTTGAATTACTTCAAAATGAAAATGGGATTCAGGAAATCATCAGACACTAGAGTACACGCTATGTGGAGGAGCATGGTTCCTGCTGAGACCTGAAGCCTCAGAGCTCCAAGTGACAGAGTAGATGGTCCTATAGTTTTCAAAAGATCTACTTAGGGACCAGAGTCATTTACAGACTGAGTAAAAATGCAAACAAAGGCACCCCTGAAGGTAGTTTTGTTCCTATAGTAAATATTGCCTCGTTTGTGCTATCTGTTATTATAAAGGATGAGATCCAGCAGAACAGGGCCTCATCTCAGCATCACTTTAAATTCTGGGTCCACACACCAATGCACTTGAAAAGATTGTGACTCAGGAATGCAAGGCCTTTATATTATACATCCCCCAGGAGTAAAAGCTTGAAGGGGGAAGGAATAGAATGGGGAATGGTAAACACTCCTGGTGCCTCCTAGATCTTAACTCTTCATCTTAAAGAACAGAATCAGGGATATAACGATTTTGACATCTAAAATCTAATAGCCTGAATATTAAGGAAGATTAAATGGGATAATACAAATTATTTCCACAGTAGTCAATCCCTTCTCCTAAGAAGTACCAACATTCACGCAGGCAAGAAAATAAAGGGCAGAGGGACGGAATGTTGGGCTGATGATGAGGAATAAGTGGAACACAAAGCCCCGTCTTTAGGATAATAGCTGACAAATAAATGAGTTAGGTAGTTTTGTTTTGCAAACTAGAAAGATAGGGAAGTGACTCATTTCAGAAATTATTTAGGCATTCCTTTCAACTGAGCCGGGAATCTTACCAGAAGGTAATGACTCCTCATCACTGTCATCCCGTTCATCTTTGTTAAACAGGCTTTCGGCCAACACTTGCCCTGCGGAGTGGAATTTCCGACTGAAAGAATTTATCAGGACCTTAGCTTTCTTTTCAGCTTTGGCGACAGCTTGAGCTTCACGGTACTTCTCTTGTTCGTCTTCCTCCAATGTCAGTATGTCACTTTCCAGCAAATTGTCCAAAACATTGTTGACTATGTCCTTTCCCAGTAATTCAAAATCCTTTAATAGATTATTCTTGGTGTTTTTATCTGTTGAAAGCAAAGACATCCCTTCAATCATGGAAATGGATACACCCCCCCCCCCCCCGCCCTTAATTTTAGAGAAAGTTCCCAACAGGCTGTGATCATTGAGGTTCGTTTTAACTCCTTAGTGTCCAACACCCTTTGCCTTTTAAATCTTTTTTTAACCTCTCAGAACATTTTTCTCCTAGTTCCATGCTTTCATTCACTCACTCAAAACAATGTTTGGTTGTTTTATAAAATGACAGTCAACCGGCAAGTCTAATTTTGGTTTTCTTCTTCTCTTCCTTCAGGGCTCTTCTCCATTTTCCTTATTCACTTTTCATTTACTTCCAATCAATCAAGAAATATTTCTTTATCACTTACCATGTGCCAAGCACTGTGTTACAGTACAACGTTCTTTTTAAAACTTCTCTCTCTCCCACCTTCCACTACATTGCCCCATCTGTACCTGCACTGTCCTCCAAAGTACTTAGGAATTGTCCCAAGTAACTGTCCCAAATAATTCAATTCCATGAATATATTAATAACCTACTATGTGTAGAGCTAGATGCTTCAAGAGGTATAAAATTTAAATGACTTCATAGGATGATATATTTTAAAGCTGTAAGGGACCTTAAAGATTTAGTCCCATTCTCTCACTTTAAATGAGAATGCTTGACTTCTTCCCCAAAGTCACTCATGTGGTAAGAAGTCAAGATGGATCCTGAATCTAGTTCCTCTGATTATGAATCCAGTGTTCTTTTCCCTGGCCTCATGGATATAACAGTCTCGTAAGGGCAGGGATTTGACAAGCTCATTTCTTTGTATATGAAAATTTCTATGATCTTTGATAATTCAGATATTTATTGTAAAAAAAGAAAATTAATTAACAACATTATTTAAAAGATTTTTCATCAAAAGAATGATATGATCAGAGCCATAACTAACTAAAGTTAGTCTAACAGATGCATACAAGGAAAGACAGTGGATTTGGAGCAAGACCATGAGTTAAAAAGCTGTCACGACAGTCCAGGCACAAAGTAATGAATGCAGTTCTCTGAGCCTTTAAGGGTTTTACGTGAGACTGAGAACTTATCAGTGTTGTCAAAAGACAGGGTCCATTGGGTAAACAGTATGGTCATCATAGATTCCTTGATGTTTGTTGTAAGGCAAGTGACAAATACATGTGGAGAATCATGATGTGACAGTGTAGGAAAATACTAAAGATAAGCAAGTGATCAAAGATCATGCATTTGTCAAATTGACCTCAAGAACAAGACCCCAGTGTGACCATCTATTAAAACTATAGGATCATAGATTTAGAATTGTAAGAGACCTTAGAGGTCTAACAACCTCATTTCATAAATGATAAAACAGAGACCCAGAGAAGTTGAGGGACTTGCTTAAAGTCATACAGGTGTACATAGCAGAGTCAGTACTTGAATTCAGGTCCTTAAACTCCAGGGCTGCTAGGTGGCACAGTGGATAGAGCTCCAGACCTGGAGTCAGAAAGACATGAGTGCAAATCTAGTCACAGACACTTAACCAGTTGTGTGACCCTGGGCAAGTCACTTAACCCTGTTTGCCTCAGTTTCCTCATTTGTAAAATTAGCTGGAAGAGAAAATGGCAAATCATGGCAGTATCTTGCCAAGAAAACCCCAAATAAGGTCACAAAGAGTCAGACATTACCGAACAACCACAACCTCAAACTCCAAATTCATCAATCTTTCCATTGTACCATGTTACTATAACGAATATTTATGGAACTATTGTACCACATTTTCCTCATATTTTTTTTCCAGAGATCTTACTTTCTTTTAAGCATTTTGACATCGAATATCTCTTTTATCTTCACAACAGCTCTATAAAAAATAACTTTACATTTATATGCATTGTAGAGCTTACAAAGCCCAACCTCATAATTACCCTGTGAAGTAGATAGAATAAAAAATATTATCTTCAATTTACATATGAAGAAAATGAGGCTTACAGGTTAAGTGGCTTAACCAAAGTATCACAAATCTAGAAAGGATAAGAAATATGATTCAAACCCAGGTTTTGTGATTTTTTTTGTCCTTTACTCTAATGACTATACCATAGTATTGGATGGGTAAACTGAACTATAGAACTTGTTAATGATTTACATGAGATGATTTAGTATTTTACCGGCAGAGCTGAGATAAGAAATCAAATCTTTGAACTCTTAATATAGTGGGGTTTTTGTTTGTTTCTTTCTTCTGATATATCAGAATGTTTTGGGGTCTAGCATTGGTGAGACTACTAAAATATATAAGATAATCCCTATCTGGGTTCAATCCTAGGTCTGCTATTTACTTGCTATTGTCTTACTATTTACAAACTGTGTGATTCTGGGCAAGTCACAACCTCTCTAGGTGTCTTTTTCCTAAATATGTAAAATGGGAGAGAGGGAAGTGTTGGACTAGATAAGTTTTTTGTTTTCCATTCCAGCTCTAAATCTATAATTCTATGATAAATTATATGATATGAATTATAGCAGAGGCATTTAGAGAAGTAAGAGCTCGAAAGAAATATCTCAAAATCACCAAGTCCAAAGCTGAATTAACCTATCCCCCAACCTTCCCCTCTTCCAAACTTCTTTATTTCTGTCAGATACTACTATCCTTCTAGGATTCCATATGTATAACTTTTCTAATATCCTCAACTCTTCATTCTCCTTTACCCCACATATCTTATTAGTTGTCATATTTTACCATTTACATCTCTGAAATGTAATCCTTTCTCTCTATGCATGTAGTTAGCACCTCAGTTCAGGTCCTCTAACCTAGCCTATTGCAATGGCCTCTAATGGATTTCTCTACATCAAATCTCTCACTTTTTCACTTGCTATCAAAGTAATTTTCTAGAAGTGCAGATCTGACCATGTCACTCTCTTACTCTATAAATGACAGGGACTCCTTATTGCCTCTAGGATAAATATAAATAGTGTTTTTTTTAAGTTTTTAAAGTCCTTTATTACTTGTCTTTTATTTATCTTTCCAGTATCTTTGGACATTATTCCCCTCTTTCTCACTCTTCATTCTAACAAAATTGTCCTTATCTCTGTTCTTCACATATGACACTCCATTCCCTTATTTCTGTCCCTCCACTTTGACTATCCTACATACCTGCTATGCACTCCCTATTGAACTCCACTACATGAAGATCCTCTCTTCCTTCAATTCACAGCTCAAGCACCATCTTCTCCATGAAGTCTTTCTGATTCCTACAGCTGCTGAAGTCCTCCTTTCCAAACCTTTAATTAAACTACTTTATATTTATTTTCTTTTAGTTATTCTGTTGTATTCCCATTATGATGTAAGCTTCTGGAGAATCAGCATTGTTTCTTTCTTTATATTTATGTCTACAGTGCCTAGCACATAGTAAGTAGTTCACTACCTAGTTTTGTGTCACAAATCCAGTGTGGGATTGAGGAAGAAACATGTAGCTAAGAGATTTAGTCTCTAGAGCAAGGAGCCATAAAACATCCCTAAACTATGCACTAAACAAGGAAAAAATAATGAAGCAATCAGTAACTATGTGACTTTGACAATGAGGAATGGAATAGATCTCAGATACAGCCCCAAGCCCCGTCTGAAGCCTGAAGTAGAGTAACCGAGACAAGAAGATCCAACGAAAGAGCACCCTGTAGTTCTGTTATTCTGACCATGTATTGGAACTCCAACCAAAGACAAGTCCACAATTCTGTTACTCAGACCCAAATTCAGGTCAGGACCTTACTGAGCTCAGATCAGGAAGGCACACTCATACATTGCCCAGGATTAGACCACTCTGGGTGCACTGCACTAAAAGTTTTCAACTCTCAAGCTTGTGCTGTCCCTGAGATCCTAGAAAAACACAACACTCTGTGTACTGAGAAAGTAGAAACAGAACTTTAAAAGGAAAACAAAATTTTAAAATCAGAAAGTGAGGCTGGAAAAATGAGAAAAGAAAAAACAAAATAATAAAAATCATGATCCCATCATAAAGAGCTATCATGATAAGAATGGCATACAATAAGATGAGTAGGCCATTTTTTGAAAGAAGAAATATGAGCTATCAATAGTCAAATTAAAAATGCTCAAAATCACTAATAATAAGAGAAATTCAAATTAAAGCAATTCTGAGGTACTACCTCACACTCCTCTGGTAGGAAAAGTTACCATAAATAAAAGGGAAATGACAAACATTGGAGGGAATAATAAAAAAAGAGGTATATTAATATACTGTTGAAAGAGATGTGAGGGGCAGCTAGGTGACGCAGTGGATGGAACTCCAGCCTTGGAGTCAGGAGGACCTAAGTTCAACTCTTGCCTCAGACACTCAACACTTACTAGCTGTGTGACCCTGGGCAAGTCACTTAACTCCAATTGCCAAAGCAAAAAACAAAGAAAGAAAGGGATGTAAATTGCTCCTGGAAAGTTGTTTGGAACTATGCTGCCAAAGTTTCTAAACTATAACTTTGACATATCCTGACCCAATAGTACTACTAGATATTTATATAAAAGAGATCAAAAAAGCAGAAAAAGAGTACTTATGTACAAAAAAAAATTATAGTGATTCTTTTTTGATGTATCCATCAGCTGGAGAATGGCTAAAGAATTATGAGAATGTAATGGAATATCAAAATGAAAAGGATGGTTTCAGAGAAATGTAGGGATAGAATGATGTGAATGTTTCAAGACTTTGAAAGAATTAATAGCCCTGATCAATGAAATGATCAACCATAATTCCAGAAGACTGATGAAGAATGTTACCCCCTTTAAACTAGGAGGTGATGGACTCCAGATACAGAGTTAGTCATACAAGGCTAATGTCGGAATTTATTTTTCTTGACTGCATATTTGTTTTGAGGGTTTTCTTTTTCTTTTTTTTTAAGTGGGAGGGGAGAAACAGGGAGACAATTAATATTTGTTAATTGAAAAAAAGTTTAAAAGAAAAAAATAGGAAACAGAAATAAGAACAAATCAAATAAAATGTCAATCAATATTAAAAATAATTGAAGATCTAAGATTACCCATAGAAGGAGTGAGCTACTTCATATCAACAGCAAGCAGTGAAACAGTGAGGGGGGGGTTGTCACTCAGGTCCTTAAAAAAACTATCTTTACATGTAATTGGAAAAAATAAAATATTTACAAAAAGAGAAGTGGGAAGGGGGGCAAGAAGAATAAGAATCCGGGTAACTTCCCATCAATTGAGAAATAACTAAATGACCTATGGTATTTAATGTAATGAAATATTTTGGAATCATGAGAGTTGACAAAAGAGATAATTTCAGAATATTCTGGATAGTATGAACTGATATGAACTGAGCAGAATGATTCACATAAGAACAATGTAAAAAAAAAAAAACTTTGAAAAGCTGAAGAACTCTGAACAATGCAATGACCAACCTTGTCCCTATAGGACCCACTATGAGCATGCTAACCTCCTCCTGAAAGTTGACAGACTCAAGGTGCAGAGAAAAATATACATTTTCTGACATGACTGATAAGTGTTTTTTTTTTTAAACTTGACTATGTTTGTTACAGGGTTTTGGTTTTTATTCTAATGATTTTTTTTTAATTGTGGGGAAGGGGAAGGAGAAAAGTAGCAGTAGAGATGAGAGAGGTGGGGAGAGCCATTGAAATATTTTTAAAATGCACAGAAGAGAAAAGAAGGAAGTATAGGGGAAAAAAAAGAGAAAAGCAGGACAATTTTAAAAGTAACATGGAATATTATATATATTTTTAAAAAATAAATGATATGAAATAGAGATTGATGGTTTCATTGCATTCCTTGTTTTATGTTCTATGTAACTAGAAATGTCTATTTTGGGTGTTTAAGATCATACTAAAAGGATTTTGTTTTGTTTTGTTTTTTAAAGGAGTTAGCGAATGTTTTATGGAGCTGGTGGGAAATGATCTGGTTAAAAATCAGACCAATTTACAGTCAGAAAGGAAAGTACTGAGAACAGCAAACATATGACAGCCGCAGAAATAAGGTCATATGAGAGTTAGGTTGAGAGCTGGTCAATCAGGAGACCAGTCTGAATAAAGCAGAATGACACTGTTGGGGAGGGAGCAATTGTTTGTTTATTAGAAAACACTATAAGATGTTATATTCCTGTGGGAGAAGAGAGAGACGATTTCATTTGGTAGGTTGGTAGCAGAATGTGGAGGGTCTCAAAAGGTAAAAGAAATTAGATTTTATATGATGAGAAACAGAGAGTTGGTGAAATTCTTTGAAGAGGAGAATAATATGATGAAAACAGAAAAGCATTTGAAAATTTGGAGTGAAAGCTCAAGAATGTCCTCAAGGCAGCAATAACCAGTCCCTGCCCCCATCTCCTTTTTGTTTCACTGAAGCTGTGAGGTGGGAATTAGCCTCTCCCTTGGTTCATCTTCACCACTGTCTAAGAACAGAGGCCTGTTTAGATCATAGAAATGCAGAGTGGAATGAAAACAATTTGTTTCGGAGAACTCCGTCCTATCTGCCTCCCTGATTTTTTTTCCTCCTTCAAAGTGAAATCAAGGAGAAATAGAGTGGGATATAAGATCCAGAGGGGCCTTGCCCCAGGATCTGAATTTATAGCCAGTTAAAAGTCCCCTTACTTACCAGCCATGATGCCTCAGGTTTGCTCCCCTTATGCTACTGCACGCTAGGTCTGAAAGCAATTTAGTCAAAGGATATCGAAAGTTACTAAGAACTTCCTCTAGGAAGAGGAGAGGACGATGATCAGTTGAGAAACTACTGCTTCTATAAGACTGAGCTTTGCCTGGAAATTCCGTCTGATTTTGTCCAAGTTCTTCCTGGTTCTGCCATCCCCACCCCCTTCTTTCACCCTTTCACTTTCTGTTTCCCTCCCTCCTACCCCCTCCCTTTCTCTCATACTCTTCCTCCCTCTTTTTTTTCTTATTTCCCTTTTGCCTTCCCTTCTTTTTTTAAATATTTTGCTTCTTTGTTTCTGTCTAGAACTTTGTCTCAGTATCCCACTCCTTTGGCCCCTCCCAATTCTCTTTCTTCAGAAAGGCAGAGAATGACTACTGTTTTATTCTCTTCCTGGCTATTGACATACTCAGTTAAATGTTTACTATTGAATTAATACCTCTTGCCTGGTCTGGTAATAGACCGTGATATATTGGATCAGCTCAGGCTGTGATCTGCATAAATGATTACATTAGCCACTCACACTGGACTTGGGAAAAATAGCTAGGGGCTCCAGGGCCAAAGTTACCTAAAGACTTTGAGTATTTTATGTTCATATACCATGAAATGAATATGCACCATATATCCTGCAACTTTAGTTTTCATCACCTGTAAAATTTTGCAGCTGGACAGGATGATCTATAGATAGATAGATAGATAGATAGATAGATAGATAGATAGATAGATA